CTGATAACTGTTTAGGTCACAGTTTCCTGGTTTTTTAATGCTTAGCCTTGTGGAGTTTCACCCTACGCTTGCCCAACTTAGTATTCAGTGAAGACTCTAGGGGGTCCCTATGTGGATTTTTTTTCACCTCTTTTTCTGCACAGCTCCGTATTCATTGGCTTTTGGGCCATTTTATATACTCTTAGTTTTCTGTCCTGCCCATTCATCCCAACCTTTCTTTCTTTCTCTCTTTAGTGTTTTGTTTTTTGTTTTTTTTGGTCAATCCTTTCAGTCTCTTTCAGTATCTGTGATTCCTTTCTTATTGTTGTCACATGACTCTGACCTGGAAAAACCTCAGTACTAATTGAATCTAGTGTCCATTTTTCCTTTATAGCGACACTATGGAAGTTTTGTGCTACTGAATACACAACTAGGTAGCTTGGTGTTGGCCATACATATTTCTTGGGCAATAGCCTGAACTCCTGCTGTGATTCTGCCCAGCTGATCTCATCTGTCTCATCTTTCAACTCTTTCTACCGTTATTCACTGCTGTACTTTTAAATATTCTAAAAAAAAAATATTCTCAATTACCCTCAAGTCCTTATGCTTCTCTACTGCTTCTTAGAGAAGTTGAAGCCATCTGTCGAGAAACCCCTGTATTTCCTTCCACAATTCACATTAATCCTTACTCTCTGCCCATTCTTTTTTCCTACGTTTATGTTAAATGGATGATATATTCCTCTTTAAAATTAACGTTGATTGCTTTACCTATGCCATGGATCATACTTTTTAAAAACTAATAATGAACCTTGATCTGATGAGTTTTAAAATATTTTTTTACCATCATTCAGCTCTTACACATCAGTATTTAAACTCTCCCTTCACCCTGTGAAGTTCTGGTTACCCTTTACAATTTTTATTGAGTGAGTGGTCTCACTCCCACACACTCTTGGTCCCACCATACAGACTCAGCTCATCTGTTTCACCTTTTATAATGGGGTCCTAGGTCTACACTGGCTACCTTATTCATATAACCCACACTGCCCTTAGAAGGACCTTTTTTTTCTACCAAATCTTCACTAGGTGGAATTCATTAGGTACTTAGGGACGCAAGAATTCTTTTGTAGGAAATATATCCTTCAGAGTTTTTTGGAATATAGGCAAGGTCATGTGTTCATTCTCTAATCCCTTATTTTTTTAGTGCTCACAATTCTTTGACCTCATCCCTGTAGGGAGTGCAGAAAACTCTTCCAACTGCCTCTGACAGCATCTTGGGGTATTCTCTATAAACACTCATAATTAATTTAGATAAGTTAATTATGCTGAGAAAAAAATGCTTAGAGATTTCTTGGAGTCACTTGTCATTGAAGTTAGAGGAGACATAATAATCACAGCTCTAGAGAGAGATGAGGTCAAGGAAACAAAACCTATAACTAAGGGTTCAGCTTCCTCTCTCATCCCTAATCTGCTAGACATCCTGAAACAGAGGTTACCTGGGTGAGTGCAGATTCATTTCACACATAGAAATTGTCTGGGAAAGAAAAGTGGTGAATATTCAGAAATGGAGTTGCCAGTCCAACTTTATATTTCCTAAATTGGTTACCTGTCTCTCTAGTCCTTTACGATTTATGGACCATAATGCTTTTCCATGAGAATATTCTAGAGTCATGATAGAGCGCATTTTGGCTGTGAAGGGATGTTCTCTGATCGTGACTCAGAGTTTCTTTTTCTTACTCATTCGCCTTCAGTGCCTCCTTGTTTCTTTCCCTATATTAGTTCTATCTGAATTTTCACTTCTGTTCTTTTATTTGCTCTTAATCTGAGATTCTTTAAGCATGCTGTCAAGATTAATTCAATGTAAAACAGGGAAACTTATAGGCCTGGTGCACAAACTATCTTAAGTAAAAAGTCAGTGTCTTTTGTTTCCAAAAGACACAAAATGTTAGTGTCTTTTGTTTCCAAAAGACACTATCTTATTTGAGTGAGACTGTACTTGGGCAATTTATTTATGCTGAAAACTTTTGTGCATGCACGAATTTGCAGGCATTGTCTGGAACTTCATTAGAATTGATGCACCAGGAAATTACATGTGGTTATAGATTCCTATCTTCAAATCAAAATAATACCCCCTGGAATAAATATGCCAGGCTCAATTATGGAAGCAGGCATATTTACTAGTGAATATTCTCACAGCTGGGCCCTCACTTGCAAAGCACACTTGGGTCTGAAAGTTAGATTTTGAGGTGTGATACTGATCCTACAATCAGACACCTGATATAGACCCTACCTCCTGCTGTACGCTCCAGGGGGCCATAAGAAGCCCAAAAGCAAATATGACAGATCAAGGCAGTGGCTAGCACAGGTCAATGCTGACAAGGCTTTAATGATTTAATGAAATCTCACTACACCTCAGAGTACATGGGCCTTGCAGAGGGAGGCAGGCATCTCCATACTTTTGCTCAAGCCCAGAGTGCATCTGGGCCTCATCGCCGGCCAATGGCCAGCAGCACCTCTGCTGCTATTCCTGTTTGTACGTCGTAGGTGGTTCCTGCTCTTTCTGAATTTTTTTTTTTTTTTGCCCTGAAATTTGTAAGATTTGATCTGCCAGTCAACTTAATACTTCCCAAATCATTCACCAGTTTTTCTAGTTCCTTATACTAGTTTTCTCATTTGTTGAATTTCCTATTTATAATTTTTCTGGACATTTTGTTTTGAACCATTGATATGTTTGATTATTCTTCATTTGCACCACACACTTTAATTGCTGTGTTAAATTTTAGGAAATTAGGGAGGTTAATCCAATTTTGTTTAAGACGGCTTGGTTTCTGTTTGAAATTTCCGTTTGAAATTTTTGATAAAAAAGTGGGAAAATGACTTGGATTTTCTTGTGCAATGTAGTCAAAATTTGTTGCACATTGTCTAGTTCCCCCCAAGTTCTCTTGTGTTTTTGATGGATATTGAATTGAATCTATAGATTAATTTGAGGAAATTTCAAGTCTTGATAACACATTATGCCTCCCCATCCAAGAATGTGGAATTTCATTCCATTCATTCAAGATTTGTCTTCTACTATTTTGTTTTTCACTTTTATATGTTTAGCTCATTACTGTTCTAGTTTACTCTTAAGATTTTCAAAGTGTTTATACACCGTGTAATCTTTTATTTTGCAATTTGTATTATATTTGAGGAAATTACTATCTCATTACTGCTAAACTATTTTAGTTGATTCTTTGAATGCAACATAAAAATCATCTAACTTTCAAAGCTGGATAATTTTCCTGCCATTTTATTGACCAAGTCAGAAAAATAGTGAATCATTGTGGTGCCTATGGTCACATTAGTCTTTTTTTTCCCCCAATGAAATGAGGTTACTTCTAGTGTTCATTCTCATGTCAATCATGTGTATTTCTTGAATATATATTTGATAATATTGTTTTATTAAGATATACTACTGGCTGGGTGTGGTGGCTCACGCCTGTAATCCTAGCACTCTGGGAGGCCGAGGTGGGTGGATCTCTCAAGGTCAGGAGTTCAAAACCAGCCTGAGCAAGAGAGAGACCCCGTCTTTACTGAAAAATAGAAAGAAATTAATTGGCCAACTAAAAATATATAGAAAAAATTAGGCAGGCATGGTGGTGCATGCCTGTAGTCCCAGCTACTCAGGAGGCTGAGGCAGGAGGATTGCTTGAGCCCAGGAGTTTGAGGTTGCCATGAGCAAGGCTGATGCCACAGCACTCTAGCCTGGGCAACAGAGTGAGACTCTGTCTCAAAAAAAAAAAAAAAAAAAGGACATACTGCTTAATTCAGCTTGCGTTCTTGATATAAAATTTGTATTGAATTATAGAAACATAATGTCTGACAAAACAAAGAGTATTTGATAGAATCAAATACAAGAGAAGACACTGAACATCTGTTTCTCAAGAAGGCCAAGCTTTTACACAAACAAAAACAAGACTCCCAGACTAAGTAAGGGTATGTAGTTCTGAATAACACATTTAGAGAGTTTAATACATTAAGTATTTTTCACTATTAAGTAGGGAATCTGCATTCCATATTAAGAAATCTATTAATGTAAAGGACATATTGAAATAATTTCTGACATAGAAATAAAAACTCCATTCAGTTGTTCATTTATTTATGTATTATATATTTACTGACTGATCACTAATAATCTATTGTTCTAGACCCTAGATATAGATTAAGGTGGACAAGAACCTTGCCTTCATGGGAGGAATTTCTATTGTCGTCCTTCAACAGAAATAAATAATCCAAGCCAGGTGCGGTGGCTCACGCTTGTAACCCCAGCACTTTTGGGAGGCCCAGGTGGGAGGATCGCTTGAGGCCAGGAGTGCCCAGCCTGGGCAATATCATGGGACTCTGTCTCTACAAAATATAATAATAAAACAGATAATCCAATAAGATAAATTCAGTTGTTATAATAGGTACCAAAAGAGATATATTAGGTGATAAAGAAAAAAACCCTTCACAGATGGGATTTTTATTTTATTTTATTTTTTTTTAATTTTTTCTCCTGAAGAAAATCAGCAGGTATACAGATGGGATTTTTATGGGTGACAATAGAATAAGGTTCCCAGAAAGGAAATTTTATTTATTTATTTAGAGAAAGAGTCTCACTTTGTTGCCCAGGCTAGCATGAATGCCGTGGCATCAGCTTGGCTCACAGAAACCTCAATCTCCTGGGCTCAAACTATCCTACTGCCTCAGCCTCCCGAGTAGCTGAGACTACAGGCATGCGCCACCATGCCTGGCTAATTTTTTGTATGTATATTTTTAGTTGGTCAATTAAGTTCTTTCTATTTTTAATAGAGACGGGGTCTCGCTCAGGCTGGTTTTGAACTCCTGACCTCGAGCAATCTGCCTACCTCAGCCTCCCAGAGTGCTAGGATTACAGGTGTGAGCCACTGCGCCCAGCCCAGAAAGGAAATTTCAAAGGAATCACAGTCAAAACTGTATTTCATTTGACTTACATAAACTCATGTGTTCCTTTTGTTTTTCTCAAGCTTCCTGGATCTGAGCAAAATCATCATACCTCTGTCACCGAGCGATGATTTCTATTGAAGCAGCAATGGGTATGATCATCCTCATACAGACTGGAACGGGGATTGTGGGGAATTCTTTACTCCTTGGTCTTTATATCTGTTCTCTTTTCAGGAGACACAAATTGAGACCATTAGAGCAAATAGTCAACCATCTTGCATTAGCCAATACATTGATCCTTTTTTGTGGAGGAATCCCTCAGACAATGGCAGCCTTTGGTTTGCAGTATTTCCTGGATGATGTTGGATGTAAACTTGTCTTTTATTGTCACAGAGTGGCCTGGGGAAATTCTCTCAGCACCACCTGTCTTTTAGGTGGCTTCCAGGCCTTAAGTATCAATCCCACAAACGCCAGATGGATAGCACTCAAATTCAAATCCCCAAAGTATATTAATTCTCCCTGTATCATAAGCTGGATATTTCATTTGCTGATAAATATCATTGTTCCTATGAGAATCACTGGCCAAAAGAATAGCAGAAATATCACCATGAAATCAAATTTTAGATACTGTTTTCGTCTATTTATGGATGTAATTGCAGAATCAACGTGGTCAGTTATTTTCTCTTTTATTGACGTTATTTGTTTGGGAATCATGATATGGGCCAGTGGATTCATGATATTTTTCCTTCACAGGCACAAACAGCAAGCCCGATACATTCACAGCACTAGACAATCCTCCCAAATGTCCCCAGAGACCAGAGCCACAAAATCTATCCTGATGCTTGTGAGCACTTTTGTCTTATTTTATTCTTTCGCTTCTGCTCTTGAAACTTGTCATTATCTTTTTGACGATCTACACTCACGGCTTGTGGAGACCGGTGCATTTATAACATCTTCTTTTCCGACCTTAAGCCCCTTTTTGCTCTTAAAAAGTGACACCCATCTCTCCAGCCTCTGCTCTTCCTGCTGAGGAAATTGGAGAACTCACCCAGTTGCAGATACTACTGCACAGTACTCATTCATCCATTCATTGCACACTGTGAAGTACCTTCTCGGCATCACACCTATTTTAGATACAGAAGTGAACAGGAAGGAAACTACTACAATAAAGACCGGGGGGGATCCAGACATCGATTGAACAATGACACAATAATGATACAGTTGCAGTTACACAGGTTGCTGCAATGAGCAGCTCAGGGTGGCTTATTTCAGGACCACGGACAGCTCCCTCTCGTTAAACGCAATTTATAGGAGGCCCTTAGTTTGGACCAAGCTCCCGCACAAGGCCCAAAGGACCAAGTGACAATGGAGTCGCTCATGCTGAAGTTTCACGCCACCAAGCCCAAAGTAGGTTGTTTATCTGACTTTCCAAGAAATCAGCGGGGAGAGAGATAATAACCAAATCCCCAAACAGGCTAGTTTTTTAGTCAGCATGACTAAATCCCCTCTGCTTTAACCTTTAAAAGGAAAGTAACTTCGAAACAGTCAATCCGCTTTTTGTTCTCCGTGTCTGCCTTTATTAGCTCTTTTCAGTCTAGTATGACACCAGCCTCCTCTGCTCTGATCATCTGAACACTTGTTCTATTTTTGTAGCACAAAGTGCAACAAAGTTGCCCAATTCTAGAATCACAAATAAAAGCCAATTAAGATCTTTATATTTGTTGTAATTTTGTCTTTTGACACCTTTGTATCTGCATCTTAGGCTGCTCTCTGAGTATTTTAGAGGAGTTTACCGGCCGTAGCAGGTGCTTTTGGCAAATGGAAAAGCACGTCTGAACACCATTTGCAGAAAGGAACACGGGACAAACAGAGCTGGAAGAAATCCCATGTGTCTTGCGTGCCAGTAACAAGAGAATTAGGTGTGAGCTGACATTACTGAGTTAAGGTGGAATGACAATTTGCCAGGTTTTACAGATTATATTAGGAATTTGTACCACAAATCCCAACAGTAATTTCAGGCAATTTAAGGATTTTATCAAGGAGTTAGGGGGCATTAAGAAAATTATGTAGTTTGGCTAACAATTATGAGCATAGTTTTTTGGATTGAAAAGAATTAGGAGATGTTGCAAATAAACTAGGTTAGAGGGGACGATGACCCCTGATAAAGATGATGGAAATTAACATGAAAAGGAGAAGATGGACTTGAGAAATAATTCCTTTCTAAAGAAGTATGCACCCAACTCGGCAATTGTTTCATAAATAATTGTTTGAGAAAGGCTGGTATGGACAATGACTCACAAGTCTCTCACTTGAGCAGCTGGATTGGTCCTGATTGTGTGTGTTTTTTGATACTGAGAAGGTGGGGAAGCTATAGTTTGGGTATAAGGATATTGCACACTCTATGTAGCACATAGGGTTAGTTACAAATCTAAGCCACCTGTGTTCTACATGTGACTAGTAACATGTCACACACATATGTATGGGTAGAGCTCAGATGGAAGGTTTGCTTTGAAAATATCCATTTGGCTTTCAACAACGTACAGTGGTAATAAGAGCTGTGAAAGCTGTCAAGATAAAAATGGATTCACTAGTGTTAAGAACTGTTCATTCTTTTCTGGCAATAGAGCCAGGGAAGGCTGGGAAGAGTGGGTTCTCATGCTTGTATACCTGATCCCTAAAAATTACTACAAAAGGCTGTATACACCACAACTTTGGACACAGGCCATCCTAACCTTACACAAAAAATACTTCTGCAAGAACATCTGCCCAGGAACTGCCTGTCCAACCTCAAACTGGTGTCACCCTTGTTATTGATCTTTGTAGGCAAGGATAATTATTTCAAAACAATTAAGTAATCCTCCTCATTTTTTTTCCCTTTGAAACCTTTGTCTTCCTTTACCTCCCTGAACATAAACATAGTTTATTATGGCATGCGTCTTCCCACTGCAAATAAACATCTTTTCTTTTAGAGAGCCTCTCTCTGTTATTTGGCTTGTTATATAAGGAGTCAGAAACGAGACCCAAAGATGATCACTATGGGAAGGAATGGGCAATTCCTGACACTGGTGTGTAGCACTCAGTGGCCACCTTTGAGCCTCCACTTCCACGGCTCGTCCTTCGGCTCAGGTGGGTCTTCTCTCAGGCTAAGCCTCCATTCTTTTGGAAGACACTTTATGACTTTATTTGAGACCTGGTTTGGATAAGGCTGCCTTAATAATAAAGGACAATACACCCCTTCTGGGATGATAAAATAATTTTTGTATTTTCTGGTAAGTCCCTTCTGGTATAAAGACAAAGATCTTTCTGGACTGAGTATTCTTGGTTTCTACAGAATTTTCTTTCTGTCTGGGAGGCATGTCTTCTCTGGTTTGTGTGCCTAGTTTAATATTTTGTTTGATCTGCACACTTCGTTAACATTTTTGTGGACACTTTTATCTTGGTTTCTTTTTATTTGGTTGGACTCTTTCCCCTTGCATGTTTCTGCAAGTTTCTGAAAATCTTCCAGGAGCAAAAATAAATATTCTAAACAGTGGATGCAGGATAGCTACTTCAAAGCCACCAGGGCAGTCATCACGGTCTAAAATGCTGGCCTGAAGTCCTGACATTCCCTGATGGGATTTATGGGATTCTCTTTGCTCTTGGGAAATTAATAAGAAATGGAATGAGATGCTCAAACATTAAGGCATGTCAGGTTTTCTGGGACTTCAGCCATATACATAGTGTGGTCTGTTCTTATGCACATTTTAAAACAGATAGACAAATTACATCAAAGAAAATTCAGAGCTCAAATGGTCATTATTTGAAAAATCTGCAACTATAGAGTTAACACATAGAGTCTTCTAAGACCTTTTTTTTTTTTTTTTTTTTGACACATGAGTCTCACTTTGTTGCCTGGCTATAGTGCATGCATCAGCCTAGCTCACAGAACCTCAAACTCCTGGGCTCAAGGGATCCTCCTGCTTCAGCCTCCCGAGTAGCTGGGACTCAAGGCATGTGCCACCCTCCCGGTATAATTTTAGTTGGCCAATTAATTCTTTCTATTTTTAGTAGAGACGGTCTTGCTCTTGTCAGGTTTTGAACTCCTGACCTTGAGTGATCTTCCCGCTTAGGCCTCCCAATGTAGGATTTCAGGCATGAGCCACGCTCCAAGACCCAAAACAACAAATGGTGGTGAGATGTGGAGAGACAGGAACATTCCTCATCACTCTACTGCTGATGGACTGCAAACTAGTACCACCTTTATAGAAAGTGATATGGAGATACCTCAAAGAGCTACAAGTAGAACTGCCATTTTTCAGCAATCCCATTTACTGGGCATGTACCCAAGGGAAAAAAAGACATTATATATAGGTCAGGCGCAGTGGCTCATGCCTGTAATCCTAGCATCTGGAAGGCTAAGGTGGGAGGATGCTCATGGTCAGGAGTTCAAACCAGCCTGAGAAGAACCGTCTCTACTAAAAATAGAAAGAAATGATTGACCAACTAAAATTATATACAAAAATTAGCTAGGCATGGTGCACATGCCTGTAGTTCCCAGCTATTGGGAGGCTGAAGCGTAGGATTGCTTGAAACCCAGGAGATTGGAGGTTGTTGTGAACTATGCTGATGCCACGCACTCACTCTAGCCTGGGCAACAAAGTGAGCCTTTGTCTCAAAAAAAAAAAAAGACATTTATAAAAAAAGACTCTGCCGGGCGCGGGCTCACGCCTTAATCCTAGCTTTGGGAGGCCGAGCGCGGTTGGACTCAAGGTCAGGAGTTCAAAACCAGCCTGAGCAAGAGCGGACCCCGTCTCTACTATATAGAAATGAATTATTGGAACTGATATGTATATAAATAATTAGCGGGCATTGGTGGCGCATGCCTGTAGTCCCAGCTACTCGGGAGCTGAGGCAGAAGATCGCTCGAGCCAGGAGTTTGAGGTTGCTGTGAGCTAGGCTGACGCACGGCAATCACTCTAGCCTGGACAAACAAGTGAGACTCTGTCTCAAAAAAAAAAAAAAAAAAAAGACATCTGCACTAGAATGTTTATAGCAGCACAATTCACAATTGTAAAGATGTGGAAACAACCCAAGTGCCCATCAATATGAGTGGATTAATAAAATGTGGCATATATATAACACAGTGCACTACTCAGTCACGAAAACCAATGGTGATCTAGCACCTCTTGTATTATCATGGATGGACCTGGAGCCCATTCTATTACAAGAATGGAAAAACAAGCACCACATGTAGTCATCATCAAATTGGCATTAATTGATCAACACTTATGTGCAGATGTGGTAGTAACATCCATCCAGTGTCAGGCAGGTGGAGGGGGGAAGAGAGGATGGGTATAGTCACACCTAACAGAGTGAGACTCTGCCTCCAAAAAAAAATATGGTGATACTGGTTAAGAAATTTATTAAAGTATAGGAATATATGACAATAATAATTATTCTGCTTTTAAAATTTTAATGTTCAGTTAATATAAGCAGCTTAAAAATTTGCCTTAATATAAAAATGTTATTTTGCTTTAATGTAAATATATTATTCTTAACGTTTAGAATGTAACAGAACATTTTGATTCATAATGTTCCAAAAATCATATAATTTCAATTATTTTAGTACTCATACATTTTCAAATTTTTACTACTTTGGACAATGTATTAATCATCTGTTGATTTCTAATTTAGTTCTATTTTTGTCAAAAAACATGCTTTGTGTGACTTGAATCCTTTTAAATTTACTGAGTCTTGTCTTATGGTCTATACAGAATATGGTCTACGCTGTCAAATGTTCCCTATGTACATAAGATAAATTTTACTGCCATTGGGAAGAATGTTCCATAACTGTAAATGAGATCAAGTTGGCTGATATGTTCCAATCTACCATTCCCTGTTGCTTTTCTGTGTTTGTTCTGTCAATTATTGAGAGAGAATATATTGAAATGTCTTATTATATTAGGTCATTAAATATGAAATGTCCAATTTCGAATCAAAGTGTAGTTTATTATATCTGAAACAGGAAGCAGTACAATCAATCAAAGTATGAACCTAAACTACTGACACAGTTTTGGCATCTTAATGGTAGGCTTGTTTATGCCAGCAGCAAAGAAATCTGGAGAGGGGGTGGGGATGAAATCACAAAAGGCATTTTCTACTGCTTGTGGAGAGTTGAGTATTTTTCCTTGCAAGAAGTGGCTGAAAGCCTGGAAGAAGTGGTAGTCAGTTGGTGTAAGGTCTGGTGACACAGTGGATGATAGAGATTTTCCACGTCCAGCTTCTGTAGTTTGAGCAGTGTTGTTTGTGTGACCTGTGGTTGAGTGTTGGTTGTCTTGCAAGAAGATTGGCCTGTCTCTATTGACCAATCTCAGCTGCTTAATTGCAAGCATCCTCACCATTTTGTCCAGTTGGTTTCAGTAGACAGCTGCGGTAATTGATTGACCAGGTTTCATGAAGCTGTAGTTGATAATACCAGCTCTGGACCAACAAATAGACACCGTTAGCTTTTTTTTGATGAATATTCAGCTTTGGACTGTGTTTTGGAACTTCATCTTTATCCATCCATTGTGTTGAAAGCTTGCAATTGTCATAAAGAATCCATTTTTCATCACGCATAACAATATGGTGTAGAAATGGCTCACCTTTATGTCATGACAGCAAAGAAAGGCAAGCTTTGAGATGATTTCTCTTCTGACACTCATTTAATTCATGCAGAACCCATCTATCCAGCTTCTTTACCTTGCCAGTT